ACTTCTTTTTTCTTTCCAGGTCACATCTGTTTTTTCATGAGTAACTACTTTATCTGTGTCATGACCAGGGTCATCAAATAATTTACTATTCAAAAAGGGGTCTTCTGTTAGAATAAAAATGGACATTATTTCTCCAAATATTACCACATAATTAAACTGGGATAACAGGTGTGAACCGAGACTGCTGGGCAATCCGGATGTCTGGCCACCCTATCCTGCTCCTGTCCTTCCTACTTGCGAAGGGCCTGGTACATGAATTACCTCCCCACTCCTTCTCTTGGTCTTCAGTTCCTTCCTCTCCACTGTCAGCTACAACATTCTCGAGACTCACTATGATTTTGGTTTTTAAGAAAGTTTTCAGTGCCTGAAGTCACTGTCCTCTCAGATTTTCGCAGTCCAATCATAGCTTATACGGACTCCCCCCATTTCCTTCCCATTCAGACACTCCTCAGGTACCTGGCTAACTTTTGTCTCCACTGCCCCATTGACCCTGACCTCAAAGGTGATTGTCAATGGTCTCACTGAAAAATCTAATGACTTTTTCCCAGTCTTCAATCTCAGCCCCTCTACCCTATCAGCCTCCTCCAAATTCTCCTTTCTCACCTTTTTTTTTAACCCGATCTCTTCCTTGTTTTCCTCTCGTTTCTTTCTTCTCAGCATCCTATCAGCCTCTGTCTGTCTCCCCCTCTAGACATACAAACAGTGGATATCCAAGGTCCTATGCTGGTCTTTTATTCTTCCCCCCACACTCTGAACCATCAGAGCTTCACCATTCCTCTTCATAAGGATGTCCTTCACTCTTCCTCTTTAAAAAAAAAAAAAAAAATCCTCATCCGAAGATATTTTTTTTCTATTGGTTTTCAGACCAAGTGGAAGGGCGGGAGGAGATGAAATGGAGGAGGGGTGGAGGGAGAGAAACACTGATGTGAGAAGAGACAAATCAATTGGTTGTCTCTCGCACGTGTCCCGACTAGAGCTGGGGATTGAACCTGAAACCAAGGTACATGCCCTTGACTGAGAATAAAAACAGAGACCCTTCTGTCCATGGGCTGCTGCTCTAACCACTGAGAAAAACCAGCCAGGGCTCTTCCGTCCATCTGGACTGTCCATAGACACAAAATGTTAACATACCCAAATTCAAACTTATAATCACATTAATTATACAAACATTGCTGACTGCACACTATTTGCGGTGACTTCACTAGTGGCCCTTCCTATTTCAATTCCTGCCATCTCCATCCAAAGTTATACTCTTATGTTTCAGTCTTTGACTTCTCCCTCATCCAATTTGTCAACAAGTCCTCTTGCGTTTACCTGTACAGTGTCACACCCAACCCACCTGACTCCCACCCTAATTTAGATTCTCACTGCTTTTATTCTGGAGACTATTTTAATAGCTTCCTGACTGGGACCACCATTGCTCCTCTGATGCAGATTAATCTTCTCAAAGCACAGCTTTAATTACATTGTTCCCTCCACTTTAAATACCTTTGATGGTTAGCTACTGCCTACTGAACAGGCTCCTTAGCCCAGCATTCAAGATGTTCACAATATGGTCCTAACCCTGCATGTAGCCTTCTGTCCCACTATCCTGTCCCCAGGTTTTTGTCCCTCCATTTCTGGATATCCTTCAAGTCTTAATAAGGCTGATCCTTACATCACTGCCAGTTGAAGTCCTACCAATTCCTTACGGCTTTGCTCAAGATTCCGTAATTAAGTCTTCTCCAATTTTTCCTTCTCTGAAATCACAAAGCATTTTTGCTATGCCTCTCTACCAGTTCTTCCATTTAATTCAGCCTTTGTTTCCTTTCTTATGCTCCCTACAAGCCTTTCACAGAAAAGATATCAAAAAAAAGAAAGAAAGAAAGAAAAGGTATCCATGACTTATTAAACTGTACACTCCTTATACTGCCTTGTATGTAAGCTGAGAGGTTGAAATATTAAGTTAACTTTGTAACCATTATATAGCACATAAAATAATGAAAATGTACTTAATATCACCAAAACTAATTATGCTAAATTCTTAGGAATGCCTAGAAACTAACCATTTTTGTAGTTACTCTTGTTAGATCAATATCAATCATTTTATTTAAACTAAAATAACAGGAAAGTTGTACATTCTTATTGGTTTCTTAACTATAGAGATGGACAAAAATCTTAGAGATCATTTAATTCCCACCCCCTCATCTCAACCACCAATTCTCTAGGTAAGAAAACTGAAGCTTTGAGAGTTTAAGCTATTCCCAGGATCACATAAGTTAGAAATCATAATTATAGCTGTTACCACTCATTAAGGGCCCAGTGTACACCAGGCACTTTTACCTATGTTATCCCACTCTTACAACAATCCTTCAGGGTAAGTGGTATTGCATCCATCCTCTTTAGAGATGAGAGAATGCTCAGAAAAGTTAGGTAACTCGCTAGAGAGAGCCAGCCCTGTCTGATAGGGCCAGAGCTGAGCTTCAGGCCCAATTCTATCTGGCTATAAAGTTTAGACTTTTCTAATTAAACACTGTGGCAGAGCAACACCTACCAGGTGTCTTTCCTACTGTTTCTCCACCTGCGAGTGATTATGCTAAGCAAGCACACACACTTGTACATTGTAAGCCATTTTATCTGAAATCCTGGAGGCATGAAAACGCCATAGTAGCTTCATTGCTATAAAAGTTCTAAGGCTAGCCCAGACCGGTTTGGCTCAGTGGGTAGAGTGTTGGCCTGCGGACTGAAGGGTCCCGGGTTTGATTCCAGTGAAGGGCATGTACCTTGGCTGCGGGCACATCCCCAGTTGGGAGTGTGCAGGAGGCAGCTGACCGATATTTCTCTCTCATCGATGTTTCTAAATCTATCCCTCTCCCTTCCTCTCTGTAAAAAAATCAATAAAATGTATTTTTTAAAAAAGTTCTAAGGTTAATTACTGCCAACATTGTGACTCTGTCAGAAAAACTCTTCAATTTGGAAAAGATACGTTTTCAATTCTTAAGTATACTTTCCATTTTAAATACACTGTTTGTCCTACCACATTCAACAAGTATTCCTTGAGCCCCTAGATGTCCAAGACACATGGGAGGGTACAAAGTTGAATAATATATAGTTTTACTCTCTGAGAGTTCATAAGCAAGAGGCAAACAATCAACTAATGGTAGAAATCACTCCTCCCCCACCTATGGGAGCTCTGGCTAATTCAGGGACAATCCTTAGTTCTCATCTCCACCCTGCATCTTGGGCAAGTCATCTCACTGTGTCTTCGCTTCCTCAGAAAGCAATTGGTAAAAAGCAATGACTTGTGCCAAGCAATTTCAAGGTCTTTTTCAGCTTTACATTTCTATTATCTCTGAGCTCACTCTTGAGATTATGCTTCTGTAAGTGACCACAGCCACTGTTAAGGGAAGGGAACTGCTGGATGCCCAACCTTCTTTAGAAGTGACTTGGGAAGTACTGAGTTCTAAAAATACTGCTACAAGATTAAGGTAGACTGATATGCCTCCCAAGTTTAGTATGTATTACAAAATCAAGTTTACTCAAGTTTACTCTCTAAGGAAGTAGTATTAAGCATTACATTCAAATAATTCTCCCATTATATCATTGGCTTATTATTATAGCTTTAATTCTTTACAATCCACTTAAGATATTTGAAATATAATGTTAAATAACCTCTATCTAGTCTTCTGTGGAGTTAAGTTATCGATATTAACAATAAAGCAGAGTTAAGAGCTCTGCAGAGATGTAAATCCTGTATTCATTTAGTTAAATTAATACTTCATAAGTTCTACCTGCTATGGACCGTCCCAAACCGCAGCTAAATTTGGGGTTGGTGCACAAGCAGTGCGAAGAGGAGACTATAGAAATATCAATATTTTAAATACTAGTGGAAACATACACTACTGTGAGAACTTGACTTTGCAGATTTCATTTCAATATCCTCACTTTTTTTCAACTAGCACATATAATATTTTTAATCATCATCACTGACTTATTCAGTAACACACTTTCTCCTTGACAAGGCTCCACATGCCTTCTCTTTCTTCCGACTCAGCATCTTAGGAGGTGATGTGCAAACCCATCTTGTGCTGTAAGTTAACACGGCACAGAGGAGGAAATCAATCAATCAAAAAAATTGGATGAAAAAAAGTTAGAACGGTACCCTCTTAGAGCCTGACCCAGAAAGGCACTTAATTTCAACTGTCAAAGATAGTCCTACCAAGAAATCAGGAAAAAAGAACTTATTTATTCACTAGTCAACAAATACTAAGCGCCTAACATGTGCCACGCACAGTGCTCGGTGGTAGCTATGGCAATGAACAGAACAGGCGAAGAGATTCCTGGCAGAGTGGAGCTCACGTTCTAATGCAAAGAACCAGGATTTAAAGAACAACTCTAAATAAAATCATTTCACATGGCGATGAAATACTATGAAGAAAAGGAAATAAAGCTACTTAAGGTGATCAAGAGGGCCTTGCTAAGTAAAGTCCTAAGTGATGAGAAATTTTTATTCTTAATCTCACAGGGGTGGATTGGGATGGGGATGAGTCCTTAGTCTTTCAGGGAGGTCACAATGATCAAGTTTCATGTTAATGGCCAACTATTAGGATCTGGCTATTAATACCCCCACCCACCCACCCACCCTCAAAAACAACAACAACAACAAAAAACCCAAACACACACACAAACTCCCACCTAAATCTTTAAGTAGGACTTCTCTACTCAGGAGCCACTTACTTTTCTTTTAAGAGCCACTACCTTTTAAAGTTGCTAATTATTTTAGAGGTACTTGACTAGAGGCAATGACTAGAAGGATTCTCTCAGAGCCCAATACCTCATTTGACACCCTCCAAATACTGAATGAGACAGGTCCCAGCCCGGCACCGAATCAGCGCTCCTCCACCGACTCATTAATTCAGCCAGGTGGAATCTTGTAACCCTTCCAGGAACGTGGAACAAGCCTTGGGAACTCTGGGCACCTTGACACCCCCAAAGTTTCCCCAAATCGTGAACGGGGCGAAAGAATAAACCCGCGCCGCTTTTGCATGAACTCTGCCCCGCCCCTCCAGGCGTCGCCGCTGCAGCAGGGCCGCTGTCCGCGGGTCAGAGGCACGCGACGGGTACGCGCGCCTGTACATTCCCCGCATGAATCATCGGCGCTGGTCCGCGGGGTGATGATTCATGCACCGCTCGGGAGCTCGCGGCCACACGTTCCCGGCGTCCTGTGACGGCCGCACACGCAGCTTCCTTCATGTTAAATACACGTTTCAAAGTGCAAACGCCCGGAGCCAGCAACGTGTAGACCCAGGCCGGGCGACCGAGAGAAAAGGCGCCTTTCGGCCGCTGCCCGAGTTCCCGGGTCTGGGAGGAGAGCCGGCAGGTCCTTGCGCCCCTTTGGGCCCCCCGTCCCGGCACGCGCCGCAGGGGGCGCGGAGGGCGCACAGGTGGGTCCCCGCCCGGCTGCCTCCGCCCCTCCTGCCACGCGCGGCAGGCCGACGCTCCTCGCCGACGCGCTCCCGCTCGCCCCTTTCCTCTCCGTGACATCTTATATAATAACTCGAGCGGATCAGAACGGAAGCAACGCGCGCTGCCGGGCCCGTCCCCCCGCGGGACCAGATGCTGGCGCCCCCAGCCCCCGGCCCCCGCACGAAGCGCCCGGGAGCGCGGCTTCCCGGCGGGGGAAGAGCCGGAGCGGCGCCTCGGCGGGTCCCTCCTCGGAGAAGGCGCTGCTGCTGTGGCCGGTCCCCGTCAGGAAACCGCGAGCGTCACCAACTGCGTCAGCTTCTTCAAACACATTTCATGGTCTCCCTCCAGCCCGGGAGCCGGCCGCTCCGGTGGCGGGGCCGCGGCCGCGGCTGGAAGGAAGCCCTCCGAGAGGAGAAAGTTCCTCGGGCCCTCCCTCCGCCCGCCCCGCGCCCGGTCCCGCCGCGCCGCCCGCCGGCCCGCACCAATGTCAGGTTGGGCAACTTGTGACCCCCGGGAGCCGGGCCGCCCCCTCCTGCCCGCCCGGCTCGCCCGGAGCCGGGGCCTCCCCCACCCAGCGGGAAACAGCGACGTCAGAAACTTCCCCGGGCCGCGCCGGGCAGAAACGCCGCCGGCTCCCCGCACATCGCCCTTACCTTGCTCTCCAGAGGCCACGATCCGGGCGGGCGGCGCGGGGCGCGTGGTGCGCGAGCGAGCGCGCGCGTGGGGCGGTAGGTGAGGGAGCCCGCGCCGGCGGGGGCGGGGCGGGGCGGCGGGGGTGCGAGCCGCGCGGGGCGGGGGCTGGGCCGGCCCGGCGGGCGGGCGGGCGCGAGGAGCGGAGCGGAGCGGGCGGCGGGCGCAGGGCGAGCGCGGAGGGGGCGGAGGAGTTGCCGCGGGTTTGTTTACGCATTGCTGCCCGGCTCGGGGCACAGCCCGCACAACCTGATTGGACGCAAACTGGGGCACAGCCTCTCGCGGCCGGCCGCCCGCCCGGCCTCCTCGAGCAGCCGCCGCGCAGCTCCGGGAGCGCCCTGCTGGGCTCGGCCCCCGGCGGCGCCCGGGCCTGGAGGGGACGAGCGGCGGCGGCAGTGGAGCCACACGTTGGCCCTGAGCTTGCAGTTGCCCACCTGTAGTGGCGGATGGGCAGGGAGAAATTAGAAACTTCCGACGCTGGAGACTTCGTAGTCTCTCACCGAAGGGGCACCCCCCCCCCTCCCCCAGACGGAGGAAGTGTGCCCTTGAATGGATGGAAAGGCAGCTCAAATGTTGATATGCCCCTTGGGTGATGGTCACGCCGAGGCTTCCGGTGTAAGCCATCCCTAGGGGATGCAGTTTCTTCCCTCGTCTCCAGCATCTCTGCTTCCAACCCGCCCCCCCCGCCCCCCGCCCCCCCCCCCGTGCGCAGCATTCAAAGTTGCCACCCCCCAAGTGACCTTGCCTCATGGTGCTCAGGACCCTCAGATGACTCCGATGACCTCAAGCCCCAATCCTTTAGTCTCAGAGTCTCCTCTCTACTGCCCAACCAGCACCCCAATAAGCCTGGTCTTCAGACACCTCATCAGATGCCTCTGACCTTCCACAGATGATTCTGATCCCACTCTATTCTCTGCCAGGAAACGGAGAACCCCAGGGCTCCCTCCACCTGTCAAAGGCTCATACACTCAGCATGTCTAACAAGTGCAGCCTCCCCGACCTCCCCCCCCCCCCCCACACGCACACCTTCACCCGCAGAATGCCCCTGTGGCTGGCATCAATGTGGCTTGAAGGTCAGGCGTGTGCCCACTCTGTGGCCCCACTGTCCGTGGACCCTGAAGCACAGGAGCCGGGTTTTGACAGGGCTCTGAAGATGGGAGAGATGAACGCTGCAAGAATGCAATTGTCTGAATGTCTGCAGTTCTGCTGGGACTAGAAAAACTCCAGTCTATCAAGAGGGTCTCCTGATAGAGGGTTCACGAACCTCATTTTGCAAAAAGCAAACACTTTAGAAAACTGAGAATGCCCTCCATTTCTTCTATGTTTCTGTGTCTCCCCATCACATTTAGCTATGTACCCTCTGTACACATAAGGGGCACTTAATAACCTGGGAAGAATAAAACTGAGATGTTCTTTAAGTTAAGGCTCAAATGATCAAAGTGGATATAGTAAATCGGGAAGGAATAGACAGGCATGGCCATGAACCCAGTCATTTTATAGATAATTTCTAGGCTCGGAGTCCCTCAACTCTGACAGTGTCACTGTCCAATCAGACACTGGAGAAGTGGACCCTGACCCGTCCTGACTTGGGATGGCTGATTCCTTTCTTTCATGACGGGCTGCTTCCACTGGGAAAGTTGTCTTTGAACTCTGAGGGTGAATCCAAATGAGAGTAAAGTTTTCTTGCCCAGACAATTCAATAGTGACTTAGTTACACAGGAGTTGAAAGAACTGGAAGTGTAACCAGGGTAAGGCGAGGCAATCCTGAGGTTAGCAAGTACTGGATTCATCTCCTCCCCTAGGGCTGGAGGGACAAGGGAAGGAGGCTGCTAGAACCATGAAGGGCTTGTCCAATGGGAGTTGGAGCTTGGGAGGAAAGGCATCTACTGCTGGGGCTGTCTCCCAGAGCTGAGTGGGAGAAATCCCCTGACTTCTTCCAACCCTCCAGGACCACCCAGTGGTAGAAAGCAGGAGAAGCCAATGGACAAGATGCCAGAAGGTAGGATCAACCTCTCAAACAGAGGTGAGCAGGAAAAGGAGAATGGGTCTGAGAGAGCAGTAGCAAGTGACTAGTCCTCCCAGCGTGGGTGCTGCACCTGGTTAACTCTGGGACTCTTTCTCAGAGCCTGCAGGGGCAACACACACTTTTTATTTTCCTCTTTGCCCTCTTGCTTCCATTTATCCATCTATTCTCTTCTCTACCGTGTATCCTCATCTCTAACATGATGCCCGTATATTTCCCTTTTCTCTCTTACTGTCCTATCTCTGGCTCTCATTTTTCTCTTTGTGCGCACATGTAATGCTCCTGACCTCCTTTCTCCACTGAGTCTCTTCTCGCCTCTGCTTGTCCTACCCCTTCCTGGGCAGGATGGCTGCCTTCTTCAGCTGACAGAGATGAGAGGCTCCTATGGGAGGCAATGGGATTCAGAACTATCATATTGTCCCTCTAAACCAGTGCTGGCGAAGCTATGACACGCATGTCAGAGGTGACACGCGAACTCATTTTTTTGGTTGATTTTTCTTTGTTAAATGGCATTTAAATATATAAAATAAATATAAAAAATATAAATCTTTGTTTTACTATGGTTGCAAATATCAAAAAATTTCTATATGTGACACGGCACCAGAGTTAAGTTAGGGTTTTTCAAAATGCTGGCACACTGAGCTCAGAAGGTTCGCCATCACTGCTCTAAACACTGTGCTAGTTAACACATTATCTCATTTAACTTCCAACTCACACCTATTAACTGGACACCACTGAATATAAATTTGGTGGCTTTACTATTGCCCATCACAGAGAAGGCTTTGCTAGCATAGGTTGCCTTCAACTTTGCTGACAGGTCTCTACCTTTCCTCATCTATGTGCCTTCCTCCGTTATTTCTCCACATCTTTTCCTTTCATTAGCACACATATTTCTCCCAAATCCCAACTCTCTAGAGCAGTGGTTCTCAACCTTCCTAATGCCGCGACCCTTTAATACAGTTCCTCATGTTGTGGTGATCCCCAATTTCATTGTTACAAATTGAACATAATTAAAGCATAGTGATTAATCACAAAAACAATATGTAAATATATTTGTTTTCCGATGGTCTTAGGCTACCCCTGTGAAAGGGTCATTCGACCCCCAAAGGGATCGCGACCCACGGGTTGAGAACCGCTTCTCTAGAGTCTAATACATCTCCATTCTAAATCTCCAAAAATTGAGAATAGGTACTTGGAGGAGGTGGCATTTCAGCTGGCTTTTGAAAGATAGGTAGAATGTCAGTAAATGGAGGTTGAGGAAGGGCATTCTTCGTGGAACAGTGAATATTATGATCCAACTTAACCGAAACCCAAAAGACAGCTAGGAAATAAAGCCAGATTTAAGAAATTTGTTGTTAGGTCCCAGTTCTTTAAGACAAACTACTCAGAAACTCAGATTAACCCTAACTGTATTAAGTAGAGATGTCATTCATACTGTTAGCAGCATAGCATTTTAAAGCCAGAAAGACATTGTCTAGACATTGTCTGGCCCAACTTGTCCATTTTTAAGTGAGGGAACTGAGGGCTAAAAGATAGGTAACTGGAGTATCACTGTAGTTAAACATGAGCACTAGAGTTGGAGTATCTGTATTCAAATCCCTGCTTTGACAAATGTTAGGCTATATGACCTCGAACTTATATGTGTTTAAGTTTTCTCAGCTCTAGAATAGGAAAAAAATGATAGAATCCACCTCAGCAGTTTGTGGAAATTAAATGTTTTTATGAGTAAAACGCATGGCCTGGTGCCTGGTGAATATTATTATGATTTCCCGTGGCTATTCAGCTAGTAAATACCAGAGCCAGAACTGGTCCTTCAAAGTCTTGTCAGCCATAACTGAGTAATCCCCATTACTGGAAGCTATGTCTTAGGGTACTTGTTGAAGGCCACCTGTGAAAATATGGTGCTCCTCCCATCTGCTGCTTAAAGTTCTCAGTTCTCCTTCTGGCTCCCGTTCCTTACACTTCCTGCTGCCTCCTCTGCCACCTGTACCTGCAATCCTGCTGTGCAATCAGTTCTACACACTGTGACCTTCCAGAGAGACGGGGTCATGAAAAATTAGCAATGGACATTCATCCCACAGTCAACAATATGGTTTACAAGTTCTGATACAGCCATGTTTTACTAATTGAAATTTCAAAGAACCATTCACATTTCAAAAAATCAAGGAACTAAAGGCATTCGAATCATCTGTCATTCCTCAGCCTCCAGAGTCAAAACCACCCGCTTCAATTTTGGCAGTTTCTTCGAGGAATTCGCTGGGACCAAGAAAAAGCCTTTTTCTAATTGAGTGTCCAAGCCTTCAACAAACTTGTGATGGGAGGGAATCTTCATTGTCCCTCCACCTTTCCTTTCTGAGTCTCTGGTTTCACTTTTCAAAACTCCTCAGCACCATGAATCTTCGTGCAATCTCTCCTCTGGACTAGAAGCCGCTACCAGTGATGGCGAACCTTTTGAGCTCGGCGTGTCAGCATTTTGAAAAACCCTAACTTAACTCTGGTGCCGTGTCGCATATAGAAATTTTTTGATATTTGCAACCATAGCAAAACAAAGATTTATATTTTTGATATTTATTTTATATATTTAAATGCCATTTAACAAAGAAAAATCAACCAAAAAAATGAGTTCGTGTGTCACCTCTGACACGCGTGTCATAGGTTCGCCATCACTGCGCTAGACCTTACTTATCTCTAGAACCTAGCGTAGGATCGGGGCATAACAGGCACCCACGTGTTGTTGAGCCAACTGATATAAGCAATGCCACACATACCAAAAGCGTCCCTCCTCCTCCCCCTCCAAATCCTTGTCTCCGCAGCAGACCGGCCTTAGCTAGTTGTCAGCCTGCTACACTAGTTCACTGGGAAGTATGACAACAGCTGGATGTGAAAGCAATGTGCACCTTACGATGCAAACTACATTCAAAGGGGTTTATTTATTTCAGGCAGTATTTTAAGAAGGTCAGGAAGACATTTTGGGGGCATCTGGACTCTCCTAACACCTTCACATTACACCACACAGACTGAAGCTTATCGCTCCTA